CTTTCTCCTTTCCTTTCTCCTTTCCTTTCTCCTTTCCTTTTTCCTTTCCTTTCAACCTGACGGTTTTACACTTAGAATGCTGCCAAAAATGTTACACATAGAATGCGTCCAAGGGTTTTCGGGGCATGTGTTTTATGATTTTTGCTGATTTCCACATGAATTATGCTTTCCTTGACGATTTTTGTCCCTCCTGGCTGCATTTGTAACACTTAGAATGTCACACCAATCCTTTCCTCTTTCCTTTCCTTTTTCCTTTCCCTTTTCCTTTCCTTTTTCCTTTCCTTTTTCCTTTCCTTTTTCCTTTCCTTTTTCCTTTCCTTTTTCCTTTCCTTTTTCCTTTCCTTTCTCCTTTCCTTTCTCCTTTCCTTTCTCCTTTCCCTTCCCCTTTCCTTTTTCCTTTCCTTTTTCCTTTCCTTTTTCCTTTCCTTTTTCCTTTCCTTTTTCCTTTCCTTTTTCCTTTCCTTTTTCCTTTCCTTTCTCCTTTCCTTTCTCCTTTCCTTTCTCCTTTCCTTTCTCCTTTCCTTTCTCCTTTCCTTTCTCCTTTCTTTTCTCCTTTCCTTTCCCCTTTCCTTTTTCCTTTCCTTTTTCCTTTCCTTTTTCCTTTCCTTTTTCCTTTCCTTTTTCCTTTCCTTTTTCCTTTCCTTTCTCCTTTCCTTTCTCCTTTCCTTCCTCCTTTCCTTTCTCCTTTCCTTTCTCCTTTCCTTTCTCCTTTCCTTTCTCCTTTCCTTTCTCCTTTCCTTTCTCCTGAAACTCACAAATGCGATTTAGGGGACAACAACCAGCATATTCACACCAGAACAGGGATTGTATAATAAATTTTATATACCATCAAGACTTTAAGTCTATATCTCTAATAGCAACGGACTGAAACTTAGAATGCCTTGGACCAAAAAAATATTGAAAGGGTCTCCAAATATGGCGATAATCATGCGCACTTAGAATGCCTCATAAAGTCCAGCTCGCAGGTTTGAATGTTTTAGCGATGGAGGCATTTTAAGTGAGGCCAAAAAAAAGCATTCTAAGTGGCACCGTTAAAAATCTTGAGAAACATGGCGGCATTCTAAGTTTCAGTCCGTCGCTATAGTTAGATCGGTCCATATATAATAAATAGTTGTTGTTCTGTTCCTCGTATATAAAGCATTAATATGAGGCAATTCAATTGTATTTCCGCGTATCTCCACAGCAATAATTGTATCCCCATATCAACTGTATAGATCAGTTCTATCCCCATATCAGCCCATATCCATTAGTTTTCACCATGCATGTCCTCATCTCCCCATGTAAACAGCGAGGCCCATAGATGGCCCCACCATAGAATCAAGGCAATTTGGACCGAATGAAAGTCTTGGAGGCGCTGATTTTTCACCGTGACTGGTTGGCCCAATGGGGGGTTTACATTGGTTTACCACTCAAAAATGTGGATTGAATCGTCATTACACCTGGGATTTGACTTAAGCAGCAACAATTGTGATGTTCATCTGCTCATAGTTATGAGTTTTAACATGTTTTAACCACTCCAGATGGGGACATCATTGACATGGTAATGGTTGGTTTGATCGAGATTGTGCACTTATTTGTTTTATTGAAATAGCTACCAGTACACTGTTGGATTGGATATGGGTATATGTTGCGGCTCAATTGTCAATTGATGTTCTGTTTTTTTACATGCTATCAGATTTGGTTATCGAAGTTATCGATCAAAATCCGATCAGAACCATGTAGTTCAAATTCAACTAGACCATTTGTTGCCAGGTGTCAATTGCGGAGAACCATCGGTTTGTTCTCAGGAGGTGATTTTTTCACAGGCTTCAGCCTGACAACAGGGTTCGGATCACTCAGGTCTGACATATAGAGGATTTTCTTGGAGCAATCACAACATATCACAACTTCATCGTTGGATTGTTTGATGCACGTCTCAACAGGATGGCAACTCTGTGAACCAATCTTGGGATGTTATCCCATTGATATTAAACAGTTTTTAATCATCTAAAAGCCATTGTATACAGCCATAATAACCATTGATATTCATCGATATTAAACAGTAAAATCATCTAAAAGCCATTGTATACAGCCATAATAACCATTGATATTCATCCCATTAATTAATTTAGAGTGTTGAATATCAATGGTTTACCCCCTGGTAAATTAACATAGACCCTTAAAATTGCCCGGTTTTATTGGAAACTAATCTTCCAACCCGGATGACTGCCAGGGTCTATATATGTTAATTTACCAGGGCGTAAACCATTGATATTCAGCACTCAAAACGAATGAATGGGATGAGTATCAATGGTTGTTATGGCTATATAGTTGCTATTAGATTGTTAAAAACTGTTTAATATCAATGGGATCATGGGATAAACATGGGATAAACCCATAATATATTCAAAATAAACCATTAGTCTGGGTAAATTATAATAATATCAATGGGATCATAAGATAATAGCAATTAAACCATTGATATTAAACCATGCTATTAATGGGATAATGTGTTCACCATTGCCACACAGGCCGCAGCGCCAGCCCCTCGCGGCCCGAGCAGCGCTCCGAATGCTCGGAGCACGGAGACGGTGGAAGCAGCGAGTGCCCAAAGTGGCACCACATCTGAGGTGCCATGGGGCTGGGGGGGTGATGTATAGATATGATATATGAATATATATATGTGTGTGTTATTATATATATATATATTAGGTCGTCGCCCATTAGGGGAACTTAGGCACGGGAAACTTAGCATTGAAAATTAGGGCAATGGGACTATTTACTGGGATTTAAGGGAATTTGAGTGCCCAAACGTGACATGATTTTTTGGTTCGTGCTGACCCATCCAACTCACTATAGTTATAATTACCATAACGTTAAAACGGTAGTTAATCATAGTTCATCCATATTACTCGACTGAAATAAACCAACTTAGCTCAATGGGGGGGCACTACCTTGTTGCTGTTTACCTCGCCTTGTTGCTGTTTACCCCGTGGGATTCTAACCTGGCAACGGTACATCCACCACTTTCCCATTAACAGGCAGCAAGTTGCCAGATGGGTTTGCCCAAAAATGGCTTACCCAAGTACCTTCAATTTTCAAGCATCGACACCCATGTCCATTATGATCAGTATGCATTGCTTAAATCCCTCTTGATGGTTCAAGTCCTATTGAATCCCCATTTTGGTTGGTTGAATTCCATTTGTTGCACGACCCAAAGGGTGGTTACCAGATGGTTTAGAATTTCACCACACTTGGCTGATGAAAAGAGGCGGTTCCATCGCCAGCAGCTGTACCGCAGCCAGCAGCAGCTGCAGCGCAGCCAGAGGCAGTGCCAGAAGCAGTTGGGGCCCTTGGAACAGCTGGTGGCGGTGTTGTCCCGGAATACTCTGAGAATAAGATCCAAATGGGGTTTTTAACTAGGGAAGCTTGTGATTTAATGCGATTTAGATCATGGGAAAACGACAATTAAATTATCATTGCACGTCCCGGATCTTCCAGACATCTTAGTTTTTCCACCAGGGGTAGCTTCTCCAGCGCAGCTGCCGCAGCAGTCACATATCATGCGTTCCAGCTGTTGATGATCTATAGGTCTTCTCTGCGGGCATGCGATCACCGATTGACATGTTTG